ATTTATAATATCAACTTAAACTTTTAGAGCCTTAATTATAAGAACTTTAATAAACTGAAAAATAAATATAATAATAAATTGCTTAGATTTAACAAAATTTAAAAGATTTAAATGATAAATGTATGCAATTAGAAGAATAAATAAATTAGAAGCAGCAAATAAATTCAGCATTGGAATTATAATTATAAACATTAAATTAAGAAATAAATTAATAAAATGAAAAGAAACAATTATTAGAATCTGATTTGAATTAATTAAGAGATGAAAATTAAGGAATTGAATAAGAAGTGAAGATATATAGAAATCTAAGTTTGGAAGATATTACATTAAGTGAACAAATAGATACTCTTACAAAATAGATAAATGATGATAAACAAACTTATGAAACCTTATAAGATGAACATAAAGCTACATAAGAATAAATCAGTTTATTATTACCTTAAAATAAAGAGATTGATTAATTGAAAGAAACTGCTAAATTATAATATGCATAAAATGTAGAAGCTTTAAATAATTTATAATAAGAATTGTAATAAAAGATTGAATAGAAGAATAAAATATTCCAAGAAGTTTCAGAAACTGAGAAATATCTTGATGAGAATAATCATTTGCTTTAGGAATTGAATGAAAAGAAGGCTAATCTTGAAGATTAAATAAAAAAAGATGAAGTGTTGGTTAATGCAGTAGCTTCTAAATCAAAACGATTAGCTGAAACTTTAGAATAGGAGAAATAGAATTATAATTTACTTAATGCTGAATTAGAAGATCTTTTAAAGAAGAAATAGGTCTAAGAATAAGAGTTTTTAAAGGTTAAGGATGAAATTTAAAAAATGAAAACAGAATAAGAGTAGTTATTACAATAATAATAATAGTATCAAAATTTAAAGGAATAGATTGATAAATATGAATAAGATATTGAAATCAATCTTAGGATAGTTCCAGAAAGGGAAGAATAAATATAATAATTGTTAGCAATAATTGAAAAGAAAAATGAAGTCTTGGGTACAAAGTAAGAGGATGTAGATAAATTAAATAAATTACTTGTAGAATTATAATAAGAGAAGGAACAAAAGGAAAGAGAGTTGGAGGATTAAAATTAACTTATTAAAAATATTGAGGAATAAATTATTGAAAAATATTAGAGAGAAAAGGATTTAAAGGATTAATTAGAATCAATATAATTGAGAGATCTTGAAACTGAATTAATTGACAAAATGGAATAATCTATGGCATAATAGGAAATGTTAGACTCTATAGAATAGTTGAAAAATTAAGTTTAAAAATTAAGAGAGGAAGATGATTAACTTAAATAATAGATTTAAGAATAAGAAACTATAAATAATGATCAGAGATAGGAACTTGAATTTAAATTATTAGAAAAGAATGATATAGAGTAAGATCTTCATTCTGCATCAGCTTAATTAGATGAAATGAAATTTTAATTAGAAGAAAAGAATGATTAATTGACAAAATTAAATGATTAATTTAAAAAGGTTGATGAAGACTCTAAGATGATGGAGGCTGTTTTATAATTGAAAGAAAAGGAATTAAAATAATTATAAAAGAAGAAAGAAAACTTAATAGATGAATTAGAGAAAACAAATAATGATGTTGTAGAGGTTTAGAAACAATTGGCATCTAAAAGAAAGAAATAAAGATCTTTAGGTGCAGAACCTTAATAATAAGATGAAGATATTGAGGAAGATATATAAGATAAGATTACTTCTTTGAATTCACGTAATAATAATTTGAAGGATGATCTTTAGAAATTGGTAGAGTAGAGTCCAGATACAACAGAAAAGAAAGCTGAAGAATAATAAGTTATCAAAAATATTCCTATTTCAGTTTCACAATTTGCTCCAGATAAAATTTAATAAACATTATAAGATAGAGATAAAAAAATAGAAATATTAGAAATGACAATATAGACTTTATAATAATAATAGCATGAAAGAAATAGTATGATTCCTTCTATGTTTTAATCTAAGATGTCTGTATAGCCAAGTTTCTTTATGGATGATGATCCTTTATTATTGGAATTGTAAGAAAAATTCACAAAGGAAAGTGAATTGTTGAAGGATTTGCAAAATAAAATTAAATCGACTGCTGAAAGTCATTATGCTTTATCTTTATAATTAAAGGATTGGGCTGAAAAAGAAAATAGATTAGCTAAAGAATTAGATACAAGAAGATAAAGTGTAGAATAAATAGAATTTGAACTTTAAGCAATATTTACAAAATAATCAGATTTAGAATCTGAAAAAGTTAATGTTTTATAAAGAATATATTAGTTAGAAATAGAAACATAAGAACTTTATGAATAAGAAGGTAATACTAAAAATAAATTGAAAGAAAAGAAGGATTACTTATAAACACTTTACAAAAATTTGGTTGAGAGTGATTAAAAACTTTTACAATTAAGAAATAGAATGGCTTTATATTCTCAAGAAGGAAGATAATTAGCTGAATAAGTAGAGAATTTAGAGAATGAAAAAGAAAATAAATTATAATATTTACAAGATATTTAGGCAGATTTAGAACATGCAGAAATGGAAAATTAAGAAAAATAAGCCTTAGTTTAATCTATAGCTAAAGAAATTAGTGAAACTCAATAAGAAAAAGATAGATTAGAAATATAGTATGCAACAGTACATAGCAAGAATTAATAATTAAAAAGTTAAATTGGGTTTGAAGAATCTCTATATTAAAAATTACTTTAAGAATTAGAAATTGCTAAAAAGAGAGACTAAATTAAATTTCAAAATTTATTTTCAGATGGATCAACTTAAACTGAATATGACATAGAATAATTTGAAAGTTTATCCAATAGCACTTAGATGTTCAAGATAACAAAAGATGATGCATTTTAATTAAAGGAAAATTGTAGGTAAAGATTGATTTAAATATATACTAATGAAAATACTAGCATTTAATAAACTATAAATTAAAATCAACATTTAAAGAAATTGATTCATTTACAATAAATGTTAATTCAAATATAAGAAAATGAAAACTTAAATTTAATTGAATATTCATCTAGAAGATCATCAAAATTAGGATTCAAAGTATTAGATGAATCAATTTATAATATGAAATTAGAATTAGAATAAGTATATATATTTTATTTATATTTTAGATTGATTTTATGATGACTAAAACTAAATTAGTTGAAGTATAAGTAAGTGATCACTAAATTATAATTGGAGATACTAAAATAGCAAGATAATGGATAATAGATAGATAATTTGATTATGATAATGCATTGTATCCTTTGGGTGTGTTGAACATCATTTATAAAGTATAAAAATAATAAATTTATTTAGGTATCCCTTTATCAAGTGATTAATATTTCATTAACTGGAACAAAAGTATTAAACTTATATTAATCTATATTGTGAGATCAATATATATATAAATTAATTGTAAATATTTTAAATTTCCTTTGAATAATATTTAAATATGAGTAACAATATCAAGAATTCTCATAAACCAGAAGATGTATATGATGATTTAGGATATTTTTGTGGCTGCTTTAAAAAGATCAATAATATGGAACAAAATAGAACTATATAAACTTCTAAAGTTCGAAATTCAATAAATAAATCTGGTTTAGATGGGAGTAAACATTATGCTTCATCTTAATTGAACATATTAAACTCAAATAATTCTGAGTCTTAAAGATAAAAAGTAAGTGTTGCATCTCCAATAGTTAGTAGTTTTGCAATCACAACTTTCGAAAACAATTATTCCCAAAATTAATTATTCTTGTTAAGAAATAATTAAAGTGGAGAATCAATTTTTGCAAAGATCACATAAATAGATTTAAAAACAAAGATAATACAAACTTCAGATTTGAAAAAATCAAGACTTTTTGAATAAAAAATTAATAATGAATTAATTCAAAAGAGTTAATTTCAAGATTTAACTGCTAAATATATTGCTTGTCGTATAAAAGATTAAATTACAACATTAGCAGAATATGGATGTGGAAATGGTGGAAATACTGTTTAAGTATAATTATAATTAATAAAAAATAGTTTACAAAATACTTAGACTTTGTAATTGCTATTGATATTAATACTGATTCTTGTTTGTAAACTAAATAAAATTGTGATTAAAGTGCATTTAATTTAGAATTACCAAATCCAAAAGTAGAAATAATTAATGCTGATATTTTCAAATTAAAAAAGAATCTACCATTTGATAGCATTTTTATTAATCCAACTATTAATAATGATCAATAAATTTGTAAAGATATTATAAAAGATTGCAGTCCAAATCTTAAGGAATTATTGAATCTAATCTCTGATTAAATAGAAAATTTAATTATTTAATTTCCAGCTCAAATAGACTATTCTTAATTACCTTTACTATTAAATATAAATTAACAATATCGAAATACTAATAAATAATAATCTCATTGTTCATTAGAGATTGAAAAAATATATATTTAAGGCACTCATGTGTATAATATTGTATATTATGGGAAAGTAGCCAATGTTTCAAGAGAAGAGTTGAAATAATTATTAACTACTTAATTGACAAATTAGGAAACAAATAAAGATGGATTTTATTAGGTTATTGCATAATTGAATGATAAAATTGGTAAAATTATTAGTAATAATAAATTTAGGTAATTTATAATTAACTTATGAATTATTATAAGCTTAAAGTTACAAATATAATTTTGATTAATTTTTAATAGCAGTTTGTGAAAAATATAAGTTAGATTATAATGATTATGCATTTTTATTATACTAGAAACTTTCAAAGTATTATAAAGATTTAAATATAGAGATTATTCATAAATAAATTCTAAATTTAGAGATTCTAACAATTTAATTCATGAATCAGAGGAATTTGAATTTAGTTAAAAGTATTCATATAGTTTAAGTGGTTTATCTTAAAAAGAGGATGTATGTATTTTAGAAAGTTAAGATTTATATAACTTCGATTTAGTTGGAATTAGTAATGAAAAATTAAATTTATGTAATTGATAATCATTTTATATATTTAGAAATCAATTATCTTAATTATTCAAATCTTACAGGTTTAATTAAGATATCTTTCATTCCACTCTCTAATGCACTAAGTATATTATTTTCAGAATCATAAGCAGAACACATTACTATATTCAGCTTATTGTCAATTTCTAATAATTGTATTGATGTTTGATAACCATTCAACCCTGCCATCTCTATATCCATCAAAATTAATTTATATTGCATTTAATGCATTTTTTATCTATTTTAAACTCTATTAATTGCTTCATATCCATTATAAACCATATCACTTTCAAATCCTATATTCTTAATTAATAAATTTAAAGACAATAAATTAAATGGTACATCATCGCAAATAAGAATTGATGGAATGGTATCATTTTAAATTTATCTTTAACTAAAGAATGTTTAATTCCATAAAGGCATTTAATGATCTTCAACAATAGCATTTTCATCATTTTAATTTTCTGTCTCTCCTATATAATCTAATTTTATTGTAGATCCTTAAAGAGATCTAGCAATTGAATTAATTTAATTATTAACTCTAAAACTAATTTTAGTATATTCTCCCTCTCTACTTCTAATTTTGAAATATGACTTTTTTGAATATGCTAATTCTTGACTCATTTTCATTCCAATAGAAAAACCTAATCCTAAATATTTGGTTGTAAAATTTCTCAATTAATCATATATACTATCATCAATATTTTAACTAAGAATATTATTAATAGCATCCAAATTTATTTTTGAAATTCCTCTACCAGTATCATGTACAATAAATTTAATAAAATTTATCATTCCAGATGATTTCTATTTTTTTTTAACAGAAAGACAAATTGTATTATCACGTTCTGTAAATTTTAATGAATTATTAATTAAATTGACAAGCAATTAAAGTATTCTTTCAGAGTCACTATTAATTTTAATGTTTTCTAATCCATCTTCAATTTTAAAAATTAATTTAATTCCTTTGCTTTAACAAATATCTAAATAATATTCTTCTAATTATTTATATATGTCTTTAATTAAAAATTCTTGAATATTTAAATGAAATGTTCCTAAACCGAATTAAGCATAATCTAAAATATCATTAATTTAATGCATTAGTAATTTATTGGATACTATTGAAGGGTTAATATATTATTAAATAAGATTTAATTAAATAGGTTAATTTTTTAAAGCTTATAATAAATTTAATGAACAATTCAAAGGAGTACGTAATTCATGAGAAAATGAATTGAAATGTAAGGTTTGGAATTTATATTTCTAAAGAAACAATTATTACTTCTCTATTTTTGTGATATCTTAAAACAATACTAAATAACAAATTTAGCTTTGTAAATTAATCATTTTACAGAAAGTAATCTCTATAGTTTTATCATGATTATTAATATTGAAATGAACTATTAATTTATTAGCTTTGACAAAACTCCTATGTTCTAAACTACAGTAACAAAAATACTTACAGAGAAGAAATTTATGATTCATTAAAAAGTGATAAAAGCAACTATTTAAAATCATGTTTTGATAAAAGATTTGTTTTTTGTTTTTTATATTTGAATTACTACTCTAATAACTTCTCACTAAGAGATGAATATCTCTTAAGTTGTTTTTCTGCTGATGCAATTATAGATTCTATCATTTTACTATCAGCCTTCTGTGGTAATTGTTTTTATGATGTAAGACATTGAATTTCTTTATGTTACTTAGTTAAAGATTCTTCTTACTCTAAACCTCTAAAATTTTTATATAGATTTACTGTAATATAAATTTTTAGAATTATAACATTGCTTAATCATCAGTTTAAGCTGTTAAAATCTTAGATGCTTTTTGATTGATGTATAAAAGGTCTAAAGATGATGATAAATATATTATTCCTTATTTAATTTGATTTGTTATGCAAATTAATTCATCTTTTTACATTAAATCAATTTTTCTATTTGTCATAATCTATTCTGCAGGTACTGTAATATAAGAATGTAATACTTCATTTGAAGTAGCTTATTTTTGATTTATTTATTTTAAACTCAACAATTTTATCAGGATTATTAAAATTAAAATTAAGGTTGTTAAGATGTATTGATGTATTAAGGTATTATTGATTTAAATTTGTATCATACAATATACTATTGAAGTATATTACAAATATTTGTGTTATTAATTTGATTGTTCTTTATATAACAGTAGCAAATAGATATAAAATCGATAAGAATCTAAATTTGAAAAAGCTTACCTGATTTCTAGACTCATTTAAATTTATTGTATTAATTATAAGCAAAGTGTAAATACTGAAGGTTTAAATTTTTTATAGATTAGAAGATGACAAATTACACACAATAAAGCTATTGAGAATCTTATTCCTGCTAATATATAATTAGTGTTTGAATTTTTCAATGAGAGACTGATTATAGAATCTGATCCAATCAACAAATTAATGGAAATGTTCAAGCAAATATTCATGATTATTTTATACCAAAATTATATCACATTAATTAATTTAGAATGGGATTAATGTTATGCATTTAAATATTTTTCTCTTATTCCTTTACTTATATTGAAAAAAATTGTGAATAAAAACTATAGTTAATTATCTTTATTACACTTAGTAGAATAATATTTATAAATGATCACCATAATTACATAAATAAAACTATGGTTATCATAATAAGTGATTATTAATATTAATGATTAAATAAAATTATCATATTTATAGCAGTCTATTAGTTAAGGTTTTGTAATGATTATATTATTTATTTTAATAAATATTAAATAAGAAAATGTTATTGATTTGAATTAATTAAGAATATATATTTTATAATTATTTGTCAAAGTATGACAATTTATCTAATTAATAAGGTATTTAAATTAGAACATTGATAACGACATTAAATAGCAATATAATTGCAAATATTTAAAAATAAATTATATATGGAATTTAATTTAGAAAAGGCTTGAAAAATTATTTTATAATATCAATAATGAGAGTGATTTATATACTTGTAGCTGTGTGTTTAGTACTTGTATCAATTCCTATGTTTTATGACAATACCGATACTGCTCTTTGGTTGGAAAGGACAGATGCTCACACTTTTTTTATAACATCATCAAATAGACGATCATTATTATAGGATAAGTATTATAAAATAAAATGAGTTAGCCATTAAATGATGAAACAATAAATTGAAGCAGATGAATAAGAAAGAGTACTTAAATTACAATCTTTATTTGCTGAATCAAAAAATATATGTTTAAATGGAAAAGATCCTAAAAAATGGAGCTACGAATAGATTGTTAATGAATTCATAAAAGGTCCATGTGCTCCAGTCATTTTAGTTCCAGGGTTGGCAGGAACTTCTTTAGAAGTATTGAATCAATATAATAATAGATTGAAATAGATTGTGAAAAATTATAGAAAGAAAGTCCTGAAATTTTTGAGAGTTGTGGTTGGTAAACATGTAATTCATGGTATTTTTGGTATTCTAAACCTGATTCAGAATATAGACTTTGGATTTCTACAACAACAAGCACTGTAGGTGTTATATAAACTAGTTCCAAAGATCATTGTTTTGGTAATTTAATGGAATTGAAATATGATAGTGTAACTTAAAAACATAAAGAAACTCCTGGACTTAAAGTATAAATATTATGTAATATTATAGGTAACTTATTATGGTAATACACCAAGCACATAAAAATATAATGAATGTGGTCTAGGTGGAATCAAAGAGATGACTGATGACTATATAATCAAATATATGATGTGTGATTATAAAGGATTTCTTAATATTGGAGATTTATTGAAGAACATGGGATATGTAAGTGGACTTCTATTCTAAGCTATTCCTTATGATTATAGAAAAGGTATTTAGTAATCTGAGGCCAAATAATTAATTAGTAAGAGCATTTCAAATCTAAATAAAATAACAGGAAAAAAAGTTACTATTTTAACTCATTCTTTGGGTTCTCTTCATACTCTTAATCTACTAGGAGAAATGACTAAATAATAAAAATAGGATTCAATTGCCACCATTATGACAATGGGAGCACCTTATTTAGGATCATCTAAAGCTATTAGAGCACATTTGGGAGGTGATCCTTCCTTTTTAGACACATTTTTAGGAATGACTGTAGGAATCAATTATTTCAATTAAAATAAAGCTATTAATTCAGCTTCAAGTTAAGTTGATATTTATCCTAAACTTGCATTCTTCTAATATTAGAATGAACCATGGATGTAAGAAATTTTGAAAAGAATTCAATAAGAAAAAGATTTTATAGAAAAAAAAACAAATAACGTAACAGCTTTATCTTGGTTTCCAAATCCTAATGAATTATGTACTAACTTAACTGACTTTAAATCTGAATGTTTGATTCATTTGTAAGATTTAAAGGAACATTTTATTGAAATTGAAAATAAACAATTTACTGCTTAAGATATAAAGGAATTGTTAGATAAGTATACTATTAATGGTACATTAATATCATAATATTATTAAAACTACTAATCAAATCCATTAAACACATTATAAAATCCTGAAGTTCCATTTATAGTTTTATATGGAGGTTTTGCTTAGACTGAATATTAATTCAAATATTTAAAGAATCCTTATCATGAAGTATTAGATAAATAAGATTTTTATTTCCCCAATTTTACAACTTATGCTGTTGGTGATTAAACTGTTTTGACTTCATCTGCTCTTACTCCTGCTATTAAATGGATTTATGAACATTAAAATGGCATAAGTGAAAATCCAATAAAAGTCATTTAATATTGTTCTAATTATAAAGGTTCATTATAGTTAGATCTTTTTGATGCTGTGATTGATGGATAGAAATAAATAACTCAAAGTGGATATATTGGATTAGAATGTGAATGTTTGAAAAAAGGAGCAGTATTTAATTTTAATATATTAAAAGGCCTTAAGTGACTGCAAACATTCGTGCTTAATAAACGACAAATTTGTTGTTGATCTTGTTTCATAACTTGTACGTAACAATCAAAAAGCCTCAATTGATAAAACACCATTAGATAAAAATCAATTAGAAGATATTGTGAAACAATGTTCAAATCTTTAGATTTGATTAAGTTTGATAAGCAAATGTTTTATTAATTTACACCAAATATTATACAAAATTTTAATAAAAATTATATATAATATGTATATAAAATACAATTTCTTAATATGGCTATGTTATATAAATTTATAACTTAGTAAAAAGTTTGAATGGAAATAATAAAATCTATTATACCCAAGGACTAAAATAAAAATTTAAACTTTATATTGAAATATAATTATTTAAATAGAATAATTTAATAAATTTATTAATTTTTTGGTTTTATATTGATTAATTTAAAAATCAAATAGCTAAAAACAAAGCTATGATACTAGTTACTAAAATTAATTAATAGGTTGGTAATGGTTAACAGAATCCTTCTACCAATTAATATGAATCTTCACATAAGGTACATACATCTTTAGCTGAACATGTATCACAATTTGCAGGACAACCTATACAATATTTAGTAAAATCATCTGCAAATGTATTTGTTGGACAAGTCTCAACACATTCAATACCATTTCTATAAGTATTACATGTTTTCTCACATGCTCTTCCTGCATAACCAGCTATACATGTGCACTAATATATTCAAATTTAATATATTTACCAATCCTCCTAAACAATATCCTTTCTTATTACACTAATTTGGACATTCACTAACTGATTAACATAGATCCTTAGGATTATCTGGACAAATAATGCCTGACTTATATTTATTAGTGTCATAACTTGGAGATGAACCTCCAACACTACAATCATATTCCACTCCATCAACAATGATAGTTAACCTATAATTCTCATCACAAGAATATTTATAACAACTGTATCCAATATCATATACAGCTCTTGTTTTACTTACAAAACCACCTTAAATACACATACTATCAAATCCAAAATGAAAGTTAGTTCCTGAAAATAAAGTTTCATCATAATTATCTGCATCTCTGCAATCTAAATCTGGTATCACATAATAATAAGGACATTCTACAAGTCCATCATTTAAGCAAACTCCTATTCCTGTGTGTGTATATGAACAGGATAGATGTTTTAAAGGGTCATCAGATTCGTCATTCTCATTGTATGGATCTGTACAAAATTCTTTATATTGTAAATTGGAATAACATTAGTTCTTATAAAAATCACATCCTTTATCCTTTCCCCATAATTATACATCAGCAACATGTTTAGTTACTCGATAAAATCTAAATTTATATTAAATATATACCCTGAATCTTCTAATAAAGCAAATGTAAATTCAGTAAATAGAGAATTTCCAGTCATCATAGCACCTGTCATTAATTCATTATAAAAGATTGATCTTTCAAAATGTGATCCTGCAGTTCCTCCTCCTTTTTGATCTTCCATCTAATAATTAATTCAAATTAATACAGTTCCTCCCAATAATTTAGAGCATCCAAAATGATTTTCTGCTAATTGAGTCAATTTTGGAGTTGGTAAATCAATTTGTTAATTCACTCTTTAATAAACTTTGAAGTTGTATTTCTCATTAGTAGTACTATTATAATAGTTTGAATAAAGATTATCAGTGAACCCTAAACCATGAATAGATTCATGTAGTACAATTAAAACAGCTGCCTCAAATTTTGCATTTGTACCCTTTAAAATTTAACATTATTTATACTTAAAATTCTTTCATGTAATAATTATTCATTTGCATAATTCCAAATATTGGTCTTCCTGTAGTTTCATCAAAGATAACAGGTGCTGCTCTTGCAATATATTCTACTTATTCATTATTCTCTTAAGTAACAAAGAATACCTAATGATATTCTTTATATTTACCAAATCAGCATCATAACTTTTTTGAAGTGAAACAGGTATAATAAGTAATTCCCAATCAGTTTCATAACTAGATTTCCATAATAAATTTCCTGTTTGTCGTTTCACTAATAAATGTCTTCCAAAAAATGTCTTAACTATATCTAATACAGTATTAGTTTATTATTAGATATCTGAAGGTGGAGACTCCAAGAATTCAAAATGTATTCTTATAGGTTCCCATGAGTTATTAACATCCTCCAATTTTCTATCATTTTGATTTTCTTTTAATTTTTATAATAACTTGGTCTAGGATGGCAATCTAATATTCCAAATATCTGAAGTAGCAAAACAAACAGTAAATAAGAATAGGATAATCTAATTCATATAAAATAATATTGTAAATTAATTGATATTTTACTACTTAAATAAATAAAATCACTAAATCAATTATAATAATTAATTACAATGTTCCAAAATTCACATACTAATAATTAATTTTCATTCCACTCTACGATTAAATTCAAAAAATTACCTAAGTTGGAACCTCTTTTTAAATAAATCAATCAAGTTGTTCCTCAAAATACCTAAAGAGGAAGAAGCTTTAAATACTATTTATTTAACGTAACTGGTGGATAATGTAAGTTTAGAAGGAAAACTTGTACATGTTCTGAATGTGGAGGAACAAATACATTCGTTGAAAAATAGAATGCTTTGTAACCCATAACATACATAAGAGCACATCATGTAAAAAAAAGAAAGAGAAAGATGCATCGTAATAAAGGAGGTGGTAGACATCTGTCAGCTATGATTAATAGAGTCCCTCTTAAAATTGAGGATATTACCAATCTTATTCCAACAAGAAAAGAAAGAAAAGCAAAAACATTACTTCAAAACTAATTTATTGAATAAACACTATTAAAATGTAAAAGACTACTGACAAAAGATGACTCTACTATTGGCTATGAATATTTTTTTGCTAATGAATTAAAAATTGCTTATTAAACTTAAGAATTTATGACTAATAGTACATTTGAAAAAACTCCAACTTAAATCAAATAATAAAATGGTAATTTAACTGGAAGTCAAAGAACAATAGATGAATCTTAAGTGACAATTGCTTAAAATTTGAATATTAATCAAAGTTAAGTCTTAAATATTCAACTTCCTAAAATAAATTACAAAATTAAACAAAAACCTTCGTTATATAGTCCTAGAATCTATTAGGACATACTTGAATCCCATAATCTTAAACCAAATAAGACTGTTGATAAATATATATCTTAAAGCACTCATTGTTCGCCAGTCAATATCAAATTACCCTTAATTAGTTAAAAAAAAGTGATCTAAACCAAAAGAAAGAAATCAGAACATGTTTATTTGAAAGGATCTCCTTTGAAATTACTGCATGAATTAAAATCTTAGATTTTATTATAAAAAAAAATGAGCAAATAATGAGTTTTGTTTTTTAACGACTATTTAATACCATTAATTATTTAATGAATGCCAACTACCCTATTTACATACAAGAAATTAAAGAGAATTGTGCTCCCTTAAAAGACATTTAATTAAGTCATAAAAAATCTCTTCCTCATATTATTGAATCCATTACATAAAAGATCCCTTAAGTCAAAAAATAAAGCATCCATAAAATATGTTCTTAACAAGTATGCTTATCTATTTAATTTTATAATTGTAGGAATAAAGAATTTATTCTAACATTCACAAACTCAAAAAATAATATAATCTACTCAAAGAAATTGGACATGTAAATCCCCAACTTCACTAAGAATTGCAAAACACTAGAAATTATTAACTTCCTCAAAAATTAGGTAATATTAAATTATTACTATATTAGTTTAATATTAGAAAATCTAATAGTCATAAGGAGAACTCAATATTGAAAATTAAGATTCCACAAATAACTTAAATGATTGCTATCTATAAGATGATATTATGTGTTCAAATAGGAAGATATTATTGAAACCTTGCATGCGAAACATAATGGATGACTACGAAAATCGTTATAATGAATATAGTGACTCGTACATCAATAAATATTTGGATCTGAATTGAAAACAAATAATAGTTATATTTCTTTATTTTATTATAAATTGTCTTAAAAAATGCTATAACTACATAGAATTAGAGCATCATCAGTTTAAGAACAAGGAGAACAAAGATAAAAACTCCCAAATATACTTACACCTACTTTTGCTGATTGGAAAATTATAAGTGATACTAGGGCACACCCGAAAATTAGCAGAAGGAATCCACTTTTTAAATTTGGTTTGATCCCACCAAAAAAGGTTGCTACTCCTTCTTCATCTACTCATTAGAATCCTCAAGATTTTAGAGGACTTAAATCAGAAGAACAAAGTTAAAGAATAAAAGAAGTTATTGTTGAAGATAGAATAAGTACAACAGAAACAAATACTGTATAATAATTTGAGTTAGATAAAAAATATTTGTAGTTGCGAAATAGATCTGTTAGTGGATCAAAATAAACAAATCAAATAGTATAAATTTCAATTATATTTTAAGCTACTTGAATGTAAATAGTTATTTGACAACCAAAAAAAAGCATTTGAAGAAATATTGAAATCAAACAATTTATATAATAAATATTTTAGAGTAATAGATAAAGAATAATCAATAACAAATTAGAAAATTATGTAAATTTTTAACTTATATAAATGAAAATATATATTCATATCATATAAATCATTCTCTATAAAAGTTTTAACATATCTTATATAATTTCAAAGTAAAACTATATTTTATGAGATTTTTATTTTATTATAAATTATAGAATACATTTTTAATTATATTATTAAGTTTAATATAATCTTTTTAAGGATTTCTAAATATTAGGTAAATTATATTGAATAAATTATCAAACTCAAATAATTATTTATTAATATACTAATAATCTTAGTTAATATTAAAAATATGGTCTTAATAAAAATTACTATAATTCTTATTATTATATTATAATATTTTAAATATAAATTTTATACTATATAGTATCAATATAGATACAGAAATTTAAAGTTGTAAATGAATTATTTAATGCAAGTAAAACAAAAAATTATTTGTTTATATTAAATTTTAGATAAAATCCTTTTTTGTTAAATTCAAGTAAAATGTGTTTTTTATGATTAATTTGTATTGATAAATTACCACTTTCAAATATGTTCTAAACATTATATATTCTAAGTTATAAATTGTATATATAAATCAGTATATGGTTTGGAAGAATGAATTTGGCTTTTGATACTCCAAATCAACGGCTTTTCTTGATTTGTTATATTTACCATAATATTCCATGCAAGTGAAAGTAAATCTAATATATTAAATTTAGGTGAATACCTGATATAATTTCCAAATTTAGCTGTTCTTAAAAACTCTTTTGAAATACCTGTTTTAATAAGATCATCAGCATATACAAATATATCTGAACCATCTGAGTCCATAACAATAAATCCATAGTTTTTGTTCTCATCAAAGAACTTTAAATAACCAGTGCTTCTATTTCTTTTTGGAACTTCAAGTGCAATTTCTTGAAGAAGCTGGGTGACAGAAACTTAATGGTCTTAAATAAATCGATTGCATTCCTAAATAATTTGATCACCTTCAATGTTGCTTTCTTCAATTAGTTGTTACTTATACTAAACAAATAGTGTTAATTATAATACATAATTTCTTGGGTAAGAAGAACTCTTCTTTATTTATGGAGGTTTATGGACTTGCTCTAATTTAAATGTATCAAAGTCCAAATCACTTTCACTAATGTTAGTAGAGAAATCCTTGAATTCCGATCTAGATGGAGACCATTACAAATCGATCAACTTCACAGGGAACATTTATAGACAGATAATTAAATTATTTATGAATAATTTTATTTATTTCCCTTATATACACTTATTATTGATCAAGAGAAAATAGGATTCATAATTTAAAAAGTTTGATAAGTGTTTCAACTTAACTTTTTAATATAGGAAAATAGATATACTAAGTGATTTTAATTATTTTGTAAATTTAAAAATATACAATATAATTAGTTAAAATAGTTGGTTATTATTTATTTCTAAATATATCTTATTAAATTCTCTAAGTTTTTAGTAATGACTCATGGTTAGTTTATTTGTAATAAAAGAGAAATTAATAAAAAGTAATAAAACGGATGTATTACTTTAAATTTAAATTATTATTTATATGTAATTTTTAAAAGAAGCATCATACTCTTTGAAATAAAAATTTGGATATTCCCAAGATGAAAAAGCTATAAAATTGTTTGATTAAGCATATCATTATTAAAGCACAATACTTCCTATAAATATTCTAGATTAAATAGCAGAACTTAGTTTTCAAATGTATTATTATATTTAAAAATAAGTGAACATTATCCAAAAATAATAAATGAAATAATTAAGTAACTAAATACAACAAATAACACATCCAATAATATTTTAAAAGTATATGTATAATTTTTATAATAGACACTTATTATAATAGATTATTTATTGAAATATGGATGTTCAGGAATAATTGATGATTTGAAAGAATGTATAGGTTTAATTAGATATTATTAAGAATATAAGGTAGAATTTCAAGAACCACTCTTCTAATCAAGTAGATTCATTATAATATTTTAAAGTTAGATAGAAAGCATAAAATATAACAATATAATTAACAAATAGAAATCTATTGTATAAAGAAAAAGAAATTGCAAAATAAATGAAATTAAAAATTTAGATGAATAAATTAAAATAATAAGCTTAATGTAGCAATATTAATGAAGAGACTTAATCTACTTTAGATGATATGTTGGAAAATTATATTTATAAATATATGGATAAATTTCATGATAAATTAGAAAATTGGGGAGATTAAGTTAATGAAAAACTTGATAGTCTTATTAATAATGTGGCTACAAATTCAGCTTATAAAAAAGATGATAATGGTTATTATTATCCTGAATCTTGTATGGATGATGTTATGATTGTTTAAAGAAATAAAACAACAAATTTTGATTTAAAAGAAAATAGTTAAAAGTCATAAATGACAAATTAAAGTATATATATTATTTAATATTTAGATATATTTAATTAAGAAAATATATAACCTAATAAATAAGTAATGAAATAAAGGATAAATTTATTAGATTGAATATAACTTAAATACTAAAATAAAAAAATTAATCAAAATAATTTTCTTTTTTTTCTTGTTTAAATTTCTCTAACTTAAGCTGTCACTTATTATTGAAGTTAATCTCCATTTACTATTGAATGTAAAATATTAGCTAATTTATCAGCTAATTCACAGACTTCTGATTTTGGTGGATTAAATATATAAGCGTTTCTTCTAATCCTTTCAACATCATTTAGAATTTAATCTTTGCTTCTATAAAAATCATTCTCTAATCTTTAATATTATAATATATATATATTTACCTTCTTTGAATAAGTGTAATATAACTCATTAATGGTACATAATCTAAATATTCAGGATATAATTGAACATCAACTTCATTGGAAAAGAAAAAGGCTATCTTAGTTTATTTTTTGAGCATAGCATTAATGTCTCTATTAATTTATTAAGCTTCATTAGTAGTCAATGCAGATTATAAGGAAGCCCCTTAAATTTCGATTGATTTATTAGATTTATTCATCATAGATGCAATTTCCCAGAAATTTAAATGACAATAAGCAATCATGTTTTTTTAATTTCTTAATTGATATGTTTCATCACTAATTCTTTTGCATTTCAATACTTACCAATCACTGGTATTTAAATAATTATCAGGTGTTTCTAAAGCAATGAATTAATATTAATGTCCAAATCCATTGTCTTTATCAGCATCAGTTTAGAAACTAATTTATTGTTGATTCAAATAAGGTTTAATTTATCTTACACTAGATGCATATGATTCTTCTAAAATTAGATATGGATCACAATCATAAGAATAAAAGCATTTGAATATTAGATCCTTTGTTTAAAGTTCAAAAACTTATATGATATAAGAATTTTAATTAACTTGTCTTTTAAACACTGTATTGATTACAGGGAATATATAATTTATATTGAGTACTTTACAATATACAAAATTGGCTGATTCTTAATCTGTAAGAATATCTCCAGGAAAGACAATAGTTTTTTTGGATGCAGAATCAATAGATAATTCTGATAAATCTAAATTATGTAAACATTTTTAGAGATATTATTCATATCCTTTTGTAAAGAATATAACATCATCTCCAATTTAAGGGGAATTAGTATCATCAGTTAAATACTTATCTCTTAAGTGATCCCCTTATCTTATTTGAGCTTATTTCTTTCTTGAAAATGATGTCATACAATTAATACAAATTCTTTTTTGAGTTCCAAAATCTAATTCACATAAAAATAGACGAGCTTCACTACATTCTTAATGATATGCTGATTTACATTCAGGACAACGAACAACATTATCCATTAAAATTCTACATCTAGTACATTATTCAGTTACTTATGATCTATTACGTCTTAATTCATTTTATTATCTATGATTATTAAGTATTATTAATCTAATTTATTGACTTCTTTGATTTCTTCTAGATCTTGTTTATAAAGGAGATTATTCTATTTGAACATCTTCCTTAACATTTTAATCACTTTATTTACTTACTTCTTCTTCACTTTCACTTTCAATTACTTTTTTTCTTCTTTAACTTTATTTTTTGGATTCATTAATATTAATAATTAATTATTAAGGAACTTATAAAGAAATTTATGGACTACTATCTTCATCATCTTTAATTAATACTCTCTTAATTAATTCAAATGACTTTTATTCAGTCTTTTTGATTAATTTTGCATTATGATTAGATGGTGATCTTTCTGGTATAGGTTTATTAGCTACTTCAACAATTTCACCTTCTAATTTTTAAATTTTAACTTAATCTGAAATTTTCATTAATTCTTTAATTTCATGAATAATTTTAATTTCCATTTATTTCATCTCTGCAAAATAACCTTAAAACATTTCTTCATTTTTCATATTATCTATAGCAATACCTTTTGACATTTATATATATGTAAATAATTTAGGCTTTTATATATTAACACTTTTTTTTCCTTAATAATCTTGAGATATTAAATAAGGAAAAAGAGTCTTAAAATTATTCTAGAAATTATAATGATATGGCATTCTATAGAAATTACAAATACTTCCTCTATCCACATAACAAAATTCCATATCAGAATCTAATGCCATAACTCTAAATCCATCTGATTCATCTATTATTGGATGTTCTGAATCTGATACATAAAATTATTCAATTGGAGTTTAATCAAAGATTTCTTATACTCCAAAACCATAAATAGAAAATGATCCATAATCTGTTGATACTACAAAAGTCATTCCATTTGGACTGAAACATCCATCTTTTAAAGGAACTTCTAAATTTGGTAATTTCAAATGATATCCTCTTTCATGAAACACTTTTAAAGGTATACCTTTTTGTATATTCCATAAAATTATTAATCCATTTTCATCAGCTGACAATGCCACTTCCTCATAAATAGGATGAGCTTCTAAAAATACAACATGAGAATCTAATTTTAATTAAGGTAAACTTTCTTAATCCATACAATGAATAACTTAATTTTCATGTGTTGAATAAACTTAAATTTAAGTCTTTGATTTTTCCTCATCTCCTTTCTTTTTTAATTTCTTGCTAAATGAAGCTAAAGCATAAGTGCTTTTTGATGACCAAGCTATTGCAAAACATTAGATTTCTCCTACTCTTCTCCCTTCAGTTGATTTATATTTTAATAACACTTATGATCTATTATGTTAATTAGCTGCAATTCCTCCTTCTTACCATTTCCATAATCTAGCACTTCCATCAAAAGATGCAGTTAACAATTGATCACCATCCTTTGACCAACGAGCCAAATGAACTGTGGCTGAATGTTCACGCCATTCTACCTTATTGATTACTTTAGATAGATTTTCTGGTTTATCAAAGATTATTATTTCTCCTTAATCTGTTCCCATAGCCAAATAACCCTATTTATTGAATTCCATACACAATATACCATTTACTTTACCTTTATTTGCTTTATTATAATTCACATTCAATCTAATAATATCTGCTTGATGTTTGATTGCAGATTACTTAATTTTTGCATTGAATTATGTACCCAAAATACTTCCATTACATTTAATCAAATCTTATACATCATAGATATAAACATATCCCTTTTCACTTGCAACTGTCAAATAGTTAACATTTTATGAACTACTTTGATAAAATACTAAAACTAATATTGGATCATCTTATGCTTCCTATTAATCAAAAATATTATTATACTTTTAATGCTGCCACAGGTTTACCAATCTATATATCCCATACAATAACCAAACCATCATTACTACAAGATGCCAAATATTTATTACAATAACTAATATCCATTGAATTTATTGCCATTGTATGACCTTTTAATGATTATAATAATAATCCATTAGATGCTGACCATATCTTTATCAATCCTAAATCATCTCCTGTTAACAATAACTAACCAGTTCTAATATATTTATATATCATATTTTACCTGTCATATATTACATTATACACTGGTATGTATGGATCCTCCTAATCTTAATTGTCTGGATGAAGAGCATGTCCAAAACAAGTCTTTAATTTTCTCATATATTCAACTGATGATATAAAATCTTGGCGCACAACTCTTCCACCATTTAATTATTAAAGTGATTATGATTTGTTCTTTATGCTTTCATATCTTGATTATCGTTTAGGTTCAGGTGTTTCACGAGCTATATAATTTTGAAGCATCTTCTGGATAACACTTTCATAAGAAGGACTCAATTTTGTAGAGATTAAATTTTTAAGATTCAAATCTAGACAGATGCATCATAAATTTAAGTACCATTGACCTATAGAATATGCCCACGCTTATGACCATTCTTTTAATTGAAGAAATTCTCCAATCCCTCTAGAAGATGTTTTTCACATTGAAGCTCGTGCAAGTGATTCAGGATCATTTAGGCACAGATTCTCTGCTGCTGACTCTCTAAAATGGTTGACTTTTGAAGCTTCTTCGTGTAGTATGATATCAATCGTGCTTCAATCAACTTTTTTCCTTAGTTCTCTTCAAAGCTGTTTTACATTCCTAAAATGCATAATTCTTACAAAAACTAATACCTTATTCTAGTATAAAAAATTAGAGGCTTTAAATATGATATTTTAATCAATTATTTAATCATCGATGTAGGGGGTTTAAATACAAATAAGAATGGTTCCTAACCAGATTGGAAATCATTAACATAATATCATCAAAAACAAAAAAAAACACAAATTAGAAAAATAGAACATTTCCCTGCCGCCTTAATTACATAATTTTTTATTTTATATTAACTTTATAAATTATAATTAATTTGCCATAATTTCTTGATTTTCTATTCAAAACTCTTCCATTTCATTTAAATAACCTTAAATTCCTTTTATTCTCTAACAAATACTTATTTTATACTAAATTAAAAATTGATCGTTACTTTTTTATTTCTACTCTTTTTAAGTTCCTAATCTATAAATATACTCATAAAATACTATAATATTGAATCATACATAAGATTTCTGATTAAATTTATTACATTCTCAATAGTTAATTGGATAAACATAATTTATAAGCTATACTCTTAAAAATATAAAATGAATAATGATAAGCAATATGTAATATGCAATATTTTCAAATCTCCTTGACATCCTTTAAATCAATTTCTTGATATTGCTCAAAGAAATCACGTGTAATTTAATCTTTGTTTCTAATTTCTTCTGGTAAAGATGTCAATAAATGATAGATAAAATGTTCTAAAGGTTTGTTTGGTCTTTTAGTAATGAGTTCTTTGTAACCATTTGAGATGATTTGATTAAACTTTTCTTATTCTTATTAGTTCATTTATAATTATAAATAATATAGTATGAAAAATATATGATTTCTCAAATTAAAACCTCAAAGTTAAGTTTTATCAGTAGTGGAATTATTTCTCCAATTTGAGTATTCTAGAGAAAGTTCTGCAATTTAAGTATAAGATTGATAGAACTTTGTACTGACTTCTTCTGTGAGAAGCTCTTCTCTTATTAATTCTTCAATCTAAAAGGCTAGTTTCTCCATTAGTTCCAATATTAAGCCTATTGTAACATCATTCATTAGGGGATTTGTACTTTAACCCATTAAAATTTGATTAATGGCTTTTTCTAATAAAATAATTGGAAGTGTCCTATCACAAGAGATCAATTTGGTTAGCATTTGGTCCATTCTATACCATGTACTTAAAATCTTAGTTTAAAATTCAATTAAAGTGAAAGGTTTAGGGATAGTATTTTCATTTTCTATTTTTATTAGACGAATTAGATTTGATGGTTTATCTTTATTAGTTTTAGTGACACAAATGCCCATTATAAAAAGATGAATAAATATTATTGTAAAACATCCATTTATTAAGTTACTTTTATAATTCAAATATAATATCTTTTAGATGTGATATTTAATTTAATGAAAATATTCAGAATACAAAATTAAACATATAATTCATTGAAATTGCTAAGGGTTAATTTTCGATGGTGAATTCTAAGGATTCTAGTTTCCAATCTTATCAATCAACATTTTGTAATCAAATTATTTTGAACCATCAAATTCTCTAAAAATAAAAAATCCTAAAAATTCTTTTTATCTTTCATCTAAAAGTATATTACTACCCTAAATAGCATTTTTAAATTCAATCTCATCACATAATTCATTATATTAAGAATTAGATCTCTTTGAAGTAATCATTTTTATTTATTCAACAATAGATTATCTAAATTTCCAAATTTATTAACTTATATTTTACATTATTTGATTTTATTATTCATTATCAAATAATTAATATTTTCCTATAATATTCTTTAATACACTTTTTATGACACAATTATCATTAGTTTATAATGGTGTGAATTCAACATAAGGTTGTGTATTATCTTCAATTAAATATCTTGCTAAAAGTAAAGCCTATTTTTATTATTGCATACAAAAAGGAGCTCCTTATAGTATATCAACTAATTCAATAATACTTATTTCTGATTTCCATTCAAAAAATTAATTTATTTATTCAAAAGCTACATGTTAAGTCATTAATTAATATTTTAATTATTTTCCAATTTCTTCTACATCACTATGATTTACTCTTGGTAATTTCTATTTAGTTACTTCAATTTCAGGTATAATTTATAAACTTTATACTTTTGGAGATTTTTATTCATCTCTAACAGAATCAACACTTAATCTATTTTACATAGTATATGATCTATCTCTATGATCTTCTTCTAATATAATTTTAGTTTCTGATTATTGTTTATAAGAATTACTAAGATCATCATCACCCAAAACTAAGAGATTTTTATTTACTTTTTCATCTAATACCTCTTAAAATGATGTATCTGCCTCTTTTTTATTAGTTAACCATGATTTTTTAGTTTGATATTGATCTTCTAATTCTTTAAATTGTCTCTATTTTTAAAAAATTAATAATTTTTATTTTTCATTTTCTATTTATAAAGATTATATAACACCCTACTTATTTTATAATTATTAATTTAAGTTATCAATTATTTCTTTATCTTTATATCTAGTTTTCTTTTATATTTCTTATTCATGATTTTTTTTATATTTATCAAATTCAATTTAACATTATTCTAATTATTTTTTATATCTATCCTTCATTGCTTAACAAGTTAATAATTCTTATCTTAAACAAAGAATTTTTCTTTTCTATTTTTGATTACTATTTGACAGTATTCTTAGTTTCTCTTCCAATTCTACAGTTTGGATTGTCAATTTATGGAATTTATGAACATCATTTTCGGTTTTCAAGATTTCATTAATTTGTTTGTTCAAAATCTCAAACTTAGATTTTGTATTTCCTAACTCCATCTTACAATACTTATAAGCACAATACTTCCATTTCTTGCAGTTTCATATAACGGGTACTCTTCTTCAAACTTTCTATCTCTGTCTATCTCTCCTATAACAACATTCTTGCTTGCTTAAGTTTTTCAACCAATCTTGAATTTTGATTGTAATTAATTTAGTCATCAGATACCTCTTATGTTGTTCTTTTATCTTATTGTTCCTTCTAATTAAATTACATTTATCTAGTTACCTCATCAAGTTTAATTTAGAACTATAGCTACTTATTCTAATCTTTAAGTCTAGAATTCTCTTTCTTCAATTAAATAATTTCTTCTTTTAATTATTCAGTATCTTTTTGATATGGAATTTGTTATCTTCCTGATTAAATTTCATTAATAGGTGAATCATAAATTTTTTGAGTAGGTCTTCTCCCATAAAATTGTGATATACACAAATTCATATTATCAGGAGTCAATGCTGGTAATCCATTAGTCATTGACTAATTTAAGGAATAAGCAGCACGTTAGTTTTATCTCACTATTCTGTTCATTATATAAATAGTATTAATAAATTTTAATCAATCCATTTCTCAACAAATTAAAAAATATAAATTACTAAAGATCAAATTAATTATAAAATTATTCAATTATTCTAACACTCTTTGAATATTTATAATAATATTGTTATTTCTATTTTCTACTTATAATTATATACTCAAATCAATTTTATATTAATATTCTAATAAAGTAAGAGAATAATTGATTCAATTAATGAAATTACTTAATTAAAACTATTATTCAAGAATTATAATATTATATAATCATCTAAATTAAATTATTGTTAATATCTAAATTATGGTTTAAATAAATCAACGCTAAAATTGAACTCATATTACTTGTATTGATATTTTAATAATATAAATTATATAGATTACAGTTTATACTATTTATATCAATATTGTGCAAATGGTTAGAAATAAATTGATAAATATCAATAATTTTTATTATGTTAAACAAAAACGGAACATACACAAAGTCAAAATATAGTTCATCTATGAGTGTATCAAGTATGGATAATAGAGTCAGATACTCTTAAGCTCCTGAGTAATTAGGGAAAAGAGCAAAGTTACCACTTGATATAACAATGTTTGTAATGGCTGTAGAGGTTGAGAGATTATAAAGAGAAAACACTTAATTGAAATCAGAGCTACAATCAAATAATGATTCTAATTTGGATAGAGTTTAATATGAAAGTTAGATAAGAGATTTGATGGAAAAGATTAGAGTGTAAAACAGGTAATCATTAGATGTGACTATTATACTTAGTTCTTAGAGTAGTTTATTGATTGATATAGAAAAATTACAAAAAACAGTATAGGATTTAGAGGAACAACTTAGAAGATAATAGTAATCATAAAAAGAATATGATCCAAATTGGAGAGCAAAATTGAGTCAAGCTGAACTTTAATTGGCAGCATTTTAGAAGTAATTTAACTAATAAGTAAATCTATTTGGTGGATAAAGTGCAGATTAAGTGATGAGAGAATTAGAAGAATTAAGGAGGAAGAAATAATAATTTGAAGATTTTTCAAGATAAATGAATGGAAGGAATGTCAGTAATAAAAGTAAATTAAAATAGATGAATTGTTGAGAGAATTAGATGATTTAAGGAGAAAATAGACATCCTTTGAAGATACCAGTGCATTAAGATAATAATTATAGTAATCTTAAAATCGTGTTAGATAATTAGAATAAAAACTATCAGAAATGGATTAATATATTAATACAATAGAATCTGATTTGAATAGATTTGAAACTGAAAATAAGAGATTAACAATAAGTATGTCTTCAAAGATTTAAAGTGAAAATAATGAAACAACTTTATTAAGGAATGAAATAACTAAATTAAATAATGAAATAAGTAAATTATGGTCAGACAATGAGACTCTTGTTTTAGAAATAGATTAATTATAAATGAAACTAAGAACATTAAGTGAAGATGAATTGAGAAGATTAAGAAATGAAATTACTAGATTATAAGAGTAAAATAATCAATTAGAATCTTAAATTATACGTTTATAATCTTAAAACTAATCTTTGATGTCAGAAATATCTCAACTTAATATGACAATAGAATAAAATCAATATGCTATTAGTGATGCAAATAAATAGAAATATATCTTTGAAGAATATAAAGAAAAAATAAGATAATTTGAATTGAAATTTTAAGAACTTTAATTATAAAATGAAAGATTAAGATAATAAGATCATAAAGTAGCTGTTCTAACAACTGAAATAGAAAGATTGAATAATTTAATTAAATAATTAAATACAGATACAGATGAATGGAAATAAAAATATTAAAGAATAGAATTAGCATTGATGGATTATAGATAAATAGAAAAAACAAATAGAGATGCAGTTACTAAAAATGAATTACTTTTAGATGAAATTGAAAGATTAAAAAAAATATTAGAATAAAAGTAATATGATATGGATCAATTAATGAAATAGTATGATGTAATTCAATCTCAAATTAGTACTTATTAAATTAATGCAAATGCTAGTGTTAGTAGAATATAAGAATATGAATCAACATAAAGAGAAACATCTACAATTTTATAGGATAATGAAAGATTAAAGAGATAAATTTAATAATTTTAATAATAGATTTCTACTC